ATACTGAAATAAATCATGTTCACTATAAGCTTCCCGAAGTATATGATAACTTTTTCTTCAAAATAAAGTAATGAATTAAAACTTCCTGCAAATGCTCTTTTTTTGGCATGAAATTCAACATATTTAAGCATAAAAGTATCTATGATGTTAATACCTTCAGCAAATTTGACATATGAAGTTTTGAAGCTTGCTGTCAATACAACAAAAGAGCATAGGTATCAAAATCACATATACGTCAACATATGTGTAACTCATCTGTTGAAAATCCTCATTATTAACTGGCACACCTAGTATATGATGCTGACATTTCCTTGTAGTAGTCCCACCATGAGGAATAGTAACATGGAAGCAAGAATAATAGTCCAATATACTTCCTTCAGCGTTCCCATAGTTACCAGCAGTTACAGACCTGTGGGAAGTGCTGTTTGTGGATGGGGTCCCTTTGTAATGTGATCTGCCACCCTATGCTGGCAAAGTAGCCCCCACTGTCTTTTTTTTTAAAAAAATTGATTTCTGAGAGGAAGGGAGAGGGAGATAGAAACATCAGTGGTGAGAGAGAATCATTGATTGGCTGCATCCTGCACGCCCCCCACTGGGGATCGAGCCCGCAACTCTAGCATATGCCCTTGACCAGAATCGAACCTGGGACCCCTCAGTCTGCAGGCTGATGCTCTATCCACTGAGCCAAACCGGCTAGGACACCTGCACTTTCTTGTTGCTTGGTTTCCTCTGGATTTAATCTTGATCTCATGCAACATCTTTCAGCAGACAGTGCCTCTCATATGAAACTGAAAAACTATTTTGGTTGGCATTTCACTTATGGAAAAGATCAGAACATTTTAAAAAGTAGGACTTAATATTTCTTCAACAGTCAACTTCGCGTATGAAAGCTACCTTTTCTCCTGCCATCTATCGAGGGGGCGCTTTCACCTACCAATTCCCAGTGTGGCCCTTTCCTCACCTTAGGTCTGGCATTCTTCTGGTTCTTTTAAAAAGAGAGTAAACATCTCTCTCTAAATCTTGCTAGGGGAGGCAGCAAAGAGGACTGATGCTAGAAATTTATCACATATCTAGAACCCTGGGAACCCTGGAAGGAGTGTGCTGTAACTCCTCAGGGATGGAGAGGATCCAGGACTAGAGATCAGAAACGCAGGATAGGTTTGGCAGGGTGGCAGAGGGGGCTTGGGTGCATCGTGGGAAGAGGCAGGGCACATACAAGAATCAACCAATGAATGCATAAATAAGTAGAGCAACAAATCTCTCTCTCTCTCTCTCTCTCGCTTTCTCTCTCTCTCTTTCTCTCTCTCTCTCTCTCTCTCGCTTTCTCTCTCTCTCTTTCTCTCTCTCTCTCTCTCTCTCGCTTTCTCTCTCTCTCTTTCTCTCTCTCTCTCTCTCTCTCTCTCTCATCAATTAAAAAAAAAAAGACAAAGAAAGAAAAATGTACATTCTCCAGTCTCATACCAGACCCACTGACTCAGGAACTTTGGGGGTTTGTGGAGCCCAGTGATTTGTGTTTTCACAAACCGTCCAGGTGATAATGAGCAGTGTTGCATTCAATCGTACGTATAAATGACTAACATCAGATTGTTTCCACTTAAGATAGACAATAACTGAAATATTGGTGGGAGAGGAAAAAGGTAAGCCATAGATTTGAAAGACACATTTCTCTGCTGTGTTCAGAATGGCTAAGATTGCTTGACATTTGACCACTGGGTAAATGGGGGTAATAACAATACTATGCAGCTTAAAGGTGGATTGCCAAGGTCACAAAAATCAAGATGGAAAGTCTGAAGGAAATGATGACAGCGAGGATTGCCTGGGCCCACTCTATCATTGTTCTATCTAGGGCACTGTCATGAAGCATTGCCCTGTATCCTGGCTCTGTGACCTTCTTTGATGTAGATGCAGTAAAATTTTATCTTTCTGAAAAGGGCAAGACCAAAATTACTTAATATAAATTAATTTTCTTGGAGAATAAAAGAAATTGGCAATGCCATCCAAAATTTTATTATAATATTTATTCAGTTTGGAAATAATAAATGATAAAGCATCAGAAAGATTCTTTTTAACCCTTTATTAAAACTATAAGTCTTCAAGTAAAACATACAAAACGATGATAAGCATCATTTTGGTCTTTACTGTCTCGTTATTTCTTTCTTGAACGACCAGCACCTACAAAAACGTGGTGTTATATAATACAGTGCTTCTAGAGAATTTAGTCCTTGCGGCTGGAATTCCTGGAACTGCAACGTGAGTCACTGGTTGTCATCTTGTGCCAGGGAGATGAAGGGAAGCCTGTTCTCAATTACTGGGCAGCTGGTGTGCTTTAATAGTTTGCTTTTTATAAGCAGTAAAATAGTATTTCTTAAGTATCCTTATACCCTATTAATGTGGTGCTTTCCACACTTGTCGTGTATCACAGTCCCCAGGGAACTTGTTAAAAATGCAGATTGCCCACCCCTTGAGGTTCTGATTTAGTAGGTATATGATTTTTAACAAGCATCCAAATGATTCTGGTGCAGGTAGTTTGAAGACCATACATTTTGAAACCCTGCCCAGAGCCTACTCATAATTTATGTGCTCATTATTTGAGCATATCCAAAAGTGACTGACAATTCACAAAAAGTTAGTTTAGTGTAGATAAAGACTTAACTGTGAGCAACACATGCTTATTCAAATAGAGCTTAATACTTGGCATTTGGGGAAAATGAGTATTACCCACACAAAAAAATACAAATTAAAAAATTAATAGACAGTTTTTTTTAAAGTAGTTTAGGTTTACATAGAATTGAGCAGATAGTACAGATTTCCCATATATATTCCCTCTCTAATCTCACGTTTCCCTTCTTATTAATGTCTTGTATTAGTGTGGTATATTTGTTGCAGTTAACCAATATTGATACCATATGGTTAATAGTTGATGCATTATTATTAACTGAAGTCCATAGAAACATTAAGTTTCACTCTTTGTGTTCTACAGTTCTATGGGTTTTGACAAATGCGTGATGCTTTGTATCCATCATTATGGTATCCTACAGAATACTTTCGCTGCCTTAAAAATCCTGTGTTCCACCTATTCTTCCCTGTCCCACTCCTCTCCTTGAACTCTTGGCAATACTGGTCTTTTTATTGCCGCTATAGTTTCAACTTTTCCAGTGTCATATAGTTGTAATCATATAGTGTGTAGGTTTTTCAGTTGGTTTCCTTTTACTAAGCAATATACATTTCAGATTCGTTCATGTTTTATATTGGCTTGATAGCTCATTTATTTTTATTAGGGCTTGATAGCTCATTTATTTTTATTGCCAAATAACATATATTCCACAGTTTGTTTCTCCATTCACTTTTGGAAGGATGTCTGTTTGCCTCTAGTTTGGAGAAATTATGAATAAAGCTGCTATAAACACTTGTGTATATTTTTTTGTGTGTGGATATTAGTTTTTTTAAGTCATTTGGGTAAATACCTAGGAGTGTGATTATTGGATTGCATGATCAAAACTATGTTTAGTTTTGTAAGAAACTGCCAAACTCTCTTCTAAATTGGCTGTACCATTTTGCATTTTCACCAGCAATGAATGAGAGTTCCTGTTACTCAACATCCATGCCAGCATTTGATATTATTTTGTTTTTCTTTTTTGCCTCTTTAATAAGTATGTTGTGGTATCACATTGATGTTTTAATTTACAGTTCTCTAATAATATATGACATTGAACATGTTTATATATGCTTATTTGCCACATGTATATCTTCTTTAGTTAGGTATCTGGTTGGATCATTTGCCCATTTTGTAATTGGGTTTGTTGTCTTATTTTTGAGTTTTAAGACTTTTTGCCTTGGCCAGGTGCTCAGTTGGTTAGAGCATCATTGAGATAAACCAAGGTTGCGGGTTTGATCCCTGGTCAAGGCACATATAAAAATCAACCTATGAATGCATCAATAAGTATAACAACAAATTAGTCTCTCTTTCTCTCTCTCTTTGTCTCTTCCTCTCTCTCTCTAAAGTCATTAGTTAAAAAAAAGCATTTTGTATATTTTAAGTACAAGTCCTTTATCATATATGTTCTATAAATATTTTCTTCCAGTCTGTAGCTTGTCTTTTTATTATAACATTCTCATTTGCATAGAAGTTTTTTATTTTTCTTGAAGTCAAGTTATAATTTGTTTCTTTTATGAATTATGCTTTAGTTGTTCCATATAAAATTCATCACCAAACCCAGGTCACATAGATTTTTCTACTATGTTATCTTATAGAAGTTTTATATTTAGTTTATGTTTGAATTAGTTTTTATAAAAGAGGTAAGGCTAGTGTCTCAACTTTTTTTTTACATGTGGGTATCTGATTGTTACAATACCAATTGTTGAAAAGACTACCCTTTTTCCATTGATTTGTCTTTGTTCCTTTGTCAAAGATTAGTTGACTATATTTGTGTGGGTCTATTTCTGAGTTCTCTGTTCTGTCTCATTGATCCATTTGTCTTTTCTCTTACCAATACCCACACTTCCTTGATAATTATCCTATATAATAAAACCTTAATATGCAAATAGACCGAACAGCAGAACGACTGGTCACTGTGAAGCACACTGACCACCAGGAAGCAGACGTTCAATGCAGGAACTTCCCCCTGGTGGTCAGTGTACTCCCACAGGGGGAGCACCGCTCAGTCAGAAGCCAGGGTCATGGCTGGCGAGTGCAATGGCGGTGGCAGGAGCGTCTCCCACCTCCACTGCAGGGGGGCGGGAAAAAAAACGCCGCCCACCTCCACTGCAGGCGGGCGGTAAGGAGCGAGGGGTCCTGGACTGTGGAGAGTACGCAGGCCGGGCTGAGGGACCACCCCCCCCCTCCCCAGAGCACAAATCTCATGCACCAGGCCTCTAGTAACTTTATAAAATGTTTTAAAGTCAGGTTGTGTCAATCCTTAGACTTTATTCTTCTTTAATATTGTGTTAGTTATTGTGGGCCTTTTGTCTTTTCATATAAATTTTATGTTTGTTGACATAAAATATCTTGCTAGAGTTTTGATTGGGATTACATTGACAGTAGATAACTTGGGAAGAATTTACATCTTAAGAATATTGAGTCTTTCTATTCAGGGAAATATATTTTTAATATGTAAAATCATTTCTCTATAAGCTTTAGACATTTAGATAATACTTTAGTAATAATATTTATAAAATATAATGTTAATTTCCCTAACCTTCTAAATGTATATGACTTACCATAAATTTTGACCTTTTCCTTATGACTTGGGACTATCATTGTGAGTTTCATTGCTCACTGGATATAAATACAGTTGTATCCACTTCTTAATATTCTTTCTGTATATTAGGTATCTTAGTTACCATTATGGCTACTTGTTTACATGTTTCTGTTGCCAGCTGGATTGTAGCCCCTTCAGGGTCAGGATAATATCTTAGCCATTTCTGTCTCCTAAGTCTGGTAGATGCTTTATAAATGTTTGTCTAATGGATCTTGACTGTCTCTTACATCTATCTCTCTCTTTTAACTTCCTGTTTCTAATCTGTTGTACTCTAGAAAAAAGAAAAATTAACTTTTCTAACAACTGCTTAAAGTGTTAGTAAATCTCTAAATGAAGTCCTTAATACAATCTTTCTGAGAGTCATAGAGGGTTTTGATAAAGTCCAGTCCTGTGTATTTTCAAACATACAGAAAATCTGAATTCCCATGTGCCCTTCACCTAAATAAAATAATTGTTAACATTTTCCCACAGCTTCTTTATCCTGCCCTTTCAATATAATAACACACACATTAACACTCATACACACACACTGGTACTGTACCATTTGAACATTTGTGATAAGTTCCAAAGTCATAAATACCTTAACATGTATCATCTAAGAACAAAGACAATGGAAGTGCTTTATTATAATAAAGACAATTAACAATGATTTTTTAACATTATTCAGTAGCTGTTTCACATTTAAATATGTCCAGCTGTTACAAGAATGTCTTTCATATGATGCATTCTAGGTTCCCACATTGCAACTGGCTGACCATTGAAGTTGTATGATGTGATGTGTTAGTTTGTACTACGTGGCTTTGGGTAAGTGCTTTCATATCTGTGGGTGGTATAGGGTGATCTAATAATATTGTTTTGAGCTCTGAGAGTCTATGAGTCTATAATTATAGATCATTTTAGGCCTATAATTTTGTGATTTATTTTTAAGGAACATTAAAAGTAGGAATGTTTTGAAGTAATTTGACAGGAACTGATAAACCACCAAATAAAAGAACAATGTATTTAAGTCAGATTTCAGATACCAACCAAACTCAGGCTTATGTTCATGAACCTTTCCCCCCAGTTTTATTGGAAAATAATTGATGTACACTACATGTAGTGTTTTGGTTTTTCTTCTATGTAGAACTCTGCTCTGTGAGAATAAAAATCTATCTCTCTAGGGAGATTGATGCCCTTAAATACTGCTGAGAACCAAGGTGAGAGCCTGAGCTCTGGACATGCACCGCGGCCTTTCCAGCACAGTGGTCTTGTTAACTGGTATCACCCTGGTCAGAAAGGAAAGCGCTTTAGACAATTGAATTAGTTTCTCATGCCAAAATAGTAATATTTATAAAACACTATAAACCTTTTATTTTTTAATAATTGTGGACTTTTCAAAAATTAGAAAAACAAGAACTCTGTACACCCTCCACCCAGATCCCCTAGATGTTTATGTCTTGTGTAGCTAAAGTACAATTTAAAAAATTCCTTCAAATTTTCCTTAAGGAAAAGGGCTTCACTTTTTTTCTTAAGGGATATATCTATTCACTTTCATATTAGACTGTCCATTATTCTTGGACCTTAGAAATTCTGTGCCCGCTTTCCAGACTGGGTAAGATTGTTCTCTATTGCATTCTTGTAGCTGCCTCTAAAAGTTCTAATCCCATCTCCAGTAATTTTCCTTATAAGGAACTAGAAAGCCACTAAAAATATGGTAGGTTGGCTTATTAATAATTTCTCTTTGATTTGAACTAAAGGCTTTTTCTTAGAACACAGAAGTGAAAAAAATATAAGTAAAGCACTTCTGTGTATGACAAAATTGGCTGCAAACTTCAGGAGTGAATGCTGTCATTTTAGCTTCATCTCAGAATTTTTCAAAATTGTTAGTGCCCAGAAGTGCTTAAGAGATTATGGCCTTTACATTTCCTTTTAAGAGCCAAAAATTCCGGAGACTAATTTGCATTCAAACCGCTTATTCCTGTCACTTTTGAGGTGAATATGTAATGTTTACATAGTGCTGGGTAGTGCTTCCTTCCCCTACCTCCACAGCTGCAGTAGACATATTATTACGTCTTTCATACATAAACATTTAATTTTTAAAAATGTGTTCCAGACTAAAGAAACTTAACATAGCCAAGCAAAATGTTGAAACCTAATTGTAATTAATCTTGACTTGTGTTATGATTTATAATTAACATAGGCCTTTCAATTGCTGTGATTGATTTTATGAATTCTGACATTTGTCTTGATAAAGCAGCTCATAAAGCAGAAAGACATTTGGAGGTGGTATTGGTGGAAAAAATGGCTTACAATTCGGAATTTGCATAGGAAGTTTTATAAATTCAATGTGGATTCATACTTTATTTTTATGTATGTAGTTTAGTCATTTCAAAATTTAATAGAATATTTCTTATATGAAGTTTACCATTATGGTCACCGTCCTTAGGGAATTAGTAAGATTAAGGGAATAATATTAGCTCAAAGCTAAGAAATTAAACTTTGAAAGCCAAACAGTCAGGCTCCAAGAAGTTGCTATAATAAAGTCTATAAAAAAATTTCCAATAAGAATTAGAAATCTTCCACATATAACACAGTTTTTTCTTTCTTAGTTTCTTCTTAATACAGGAAAAGTGTCTTTGGTCAACATAGATTTGTTGGGCTATCAAAAACCACTGTAATCTCATACTGCTATTTCCATGACCTTAAGACAGTGATTCTCAACCTTTTGGCCCTTTAAATACAGTTCCTCATGTTGTGACCCAACCATAAAATTATTTTCATTTCTACTTCATAACTGTAATGTTTCTACTGTTATGAATCATAATGTAAATATCTGATATGCAGGATGGTCTTAGGCGACCCCTGTGAAAGGGTCGTTTGACCGCCAAAGGGGTTGCGACCCACAGGGTGAGAACCACTGCCTTAAGAGTATAATGAGTGCTCATGGGTATAGTAACCAGACATCTTTGATAAGATTCAGTTTTTTAAAATAGGTTGCCAAGGTAAAGTATAAAACGAGGATACATTTAAATATATCACTGAAGAAAGCTAAAGTTTACCTGTGTAATATTGTTAATACCAATTAAAGTATGTTTAGACATTTAAAATGTTGGCTGGGTGGAGGAAAAAAGGGAGATAACAGAACTAATCCATGGGTACCAGTTTGAATGTGCATATCTGCTAAGAGAAAATCCCACTCAATATGCTTTAAACAATGAGGAACATTTGTTATCCCATTATAGGAAGTTCAAATGAGGAGCAGCTCCAGATTGGCTGCGTTGCTCAGCAAGAGCAAGAACTTTTAAGTTCTTTGGACCTTGTGTTCTGCTCTCCTGGATCTATTAACTCAGTACCCCACATGGTTGCAAGGTGGCTGCCACAGCTCCAGGAATCGTCATAGGGACAATGACATCCAGCAGCCAGAAATGGTTAGCCTCAACTATCATTTTCACTGTTAATAAGGAGAGCCTTTCCAAGATTTCCTACACATCACAGTACCCAGAATTATACCACATGCCTAAGTCCAGACTAATCCTTGGCCATGGAAAAGGAAGCCAGGGGATGTGGAGTGGGCCCTTCTACCTCCCCTGAGCACAGGATACACAGAGGAGATGGGACACCCAAATAACACAGGGACCCTTTTCACAACGGGGAAGAGGGCTGGATTTTGGTGTTTTATGTGGGTAGCAACATTTTCTCATCTCTAACCAAACTTCAGTATTTAGTACGAAGGGATTGGGAGGAAATGAATTTACCATATATGGGTCCATGTGTTAATAAACCAATGTGCCAAAATGAACTCAGCTTAAATACATCGAGGAAAAGAAGAAAAAGGAACTAACTCAGACAATGATTAAAAGTTCAGCTGTGTTCTAAGTCTGAAGCACATCAGTGCTGTGACTCACAAAAGAGAGGTTAACCTTCCTCATCTCAAATCTTTCTTTAGCTATCACTAGGTTAGCTGACAAGCCTGCAAAATACCTGGCCAGGGAGTTTATAGAAAAGACTCAGAAATGGATGCATTTTGTGTTATC